ACAAAAGAAGCAAAACAAACATGACTCCTAGTTTAGACGCTATCTAGAAGACCTGAACTAGGTTGGCGAAACCAGACTCTTTTTGAATGCGTATGTAGAAAAAACCAGAAAAAATGCGGTCATGATTAGATGTTAGAAGCGACAACCTCTGTTATTTGAACTGAACGTTGTACCCCTTTGAATTGGCTCTTTTCAGTGTCCTTTTGACGATGAAAACTTCCTGGGAACTTGATTCGGAGGAATCAGGTCCAGAATCAGGTCTAGAAGAACCATGATTAGAAACTTCAAATCTTGCACTCGATGAAGACTTCAAGATTCCCTTCAAGGGTTTTCTTTCTGTACCGAACGCCTCTTTGCTGTGATTATCACCTGGACTACCATCTTTATGTTTCAGACAGCTGAAAGCATCACCGAAAAAACCTTGGCTTCCCTTGGCATGAAAAGGATGCCCATTAGCATCATTATCGTCGTCGTCGTCATCATCGCCGTAAGGAATATGAACGGATTTGCCATGAAATGGATCATCGCCAAAAGCACAATAATCACCTTCGGCATCACCAAAAATCTCATATCCAGAGAAACCATCATCCACAAGGGTAGCGGTCGGAAGGGGAACTTTGTCACGGACTTTATTTTCCTCGACTTTATTCTTATCGCGTACTACTTTCTTGTATTTTGGAAGTTTGAACCACCCTTCCGTAAACAAAGGCAGTTGATTCAGATTCTTCAGAAACGATGAGCTTTTCTTTGAAGCATCAACTGGCTTTTTCTTCTCACTTTTACCCAGCAATGCCATAGCAATGGCACTGGTTATGAAAAGCTGGCAAATTGCGCATTTGATTTGTTCATGCCTCTCGAAAGACGACGACTGTGTAAGGCCAATCATGGTCTTGACCCTAAGAACTCTGCGTGCCAGCTCCGCCAATTCATACTTTTTATATTTCGGGTCATCAAGAATCTTGGCAGCCAGGTAACCGATGTCAACCTTATGCTTTGTCAACCCCAATTCTTCAAGGGGGAAAAGATCTTTCTTCTCAGGGATTCCGAACCCGACGAAGCGAATTCTCTCGTCTGTGAGAAATCTGTAGATTGATTCTGGTAATACATCCCCTGAAATAAACTTGAGGATAACGCAGCCTACACCAAAGCACAGGAGCATGAGAATATTGTTGGGATCGCGAGGGTGGCGCATTACATCGATGCCGACCACGGGCGGACGGGCCCAGGTCTTTCCATCAGGGAAAAGAAAATCCATGGAGCACACTGTTTCAAAGTCTTTTGCTTTGAAGGTAATGCCCTCCAGCTTAACTTCAAACTTATTGGTCCTCAGGTAAACGATCCCAGCCATATCTATCAAACCTTAACAATATGATCAAGTGAGGATGAATCAGGAACAAGATGGAATCAATAATTGTTGGCTCGTCTTGATCGATCTAGCTGAAGCAAAAACTTATTCGGGAAAATGCCCAAAGGGTTGTGGCAAAACACCTGCCTTCATAAATTTACATCAGAATGAATCTTTTGCAAGGCCCATGGGGGTTGGGGGGCACAATACCAAATTGAAATTAGGAAATTAGGAAATTCTAATTTAACAAAATGAACAAGAAATTGGACTAAAATTTGTGATTCTTCAAAGCTAGGGGCCTATATATGAGGACGTTCGCTCTGTTTGTTTAACTAATTTCCACACAACACTTGTTACTCCCGTCAAATTTTGGCGACTACCGAAATTTGTGGTCAATCACAGATATTAGATGAGATTAACAAGCAAGTAATTTACTAATTTTACCGTTGCCCAGTACCACAAAGCGGTTGATTTGACCATTCTTTGGATCTGCAGCCGTAAACTTGCCAAGGCTTGACTAGGCGGGGGGTTGCATGGGCTTGGATACATAGCCAAAATGCATTTTGACTCGCTGCAAATGGAGTGATGACACACATAAATGATAAATCCCCCCAGCTTGAAAAAAGGCGTTTATCCATTCCCACATCAAGAATCATCGCATAGAACGTGGCAAACTATTCTAGATGAAAAGCATTAACCAAAGACAAGAACACATTTTTCTCCAACAAATATGATTTTATCAATTTTATTTTTGGATAGGAGTTTATTTGGATGATTTATTTGAGATAATTACCGTGAGACTTTTTGTGATGTGATGTATGTGAGATAAAGAGGTGATTGGGAAGATAAAATGGTGATTGGAATTTGTGAAGCAAATTATTTTATTTGAAATCATCTCAATCCAAACAAATCCAGTTAAATGATTATTTTGGCTATTTCTTAGTCTATAAAATACAATTAGTCATAATACATAATGTTATAACTACGAATAATTTACGATTTAAGGAACACTTACAAGTTTGATTTTAAAAAAAAATATATGAACTAAGCAAATTACGTATATTCAAAAATTTTATATTCATGCCAATTTAAATCTTCTTTGCCTACGTTATATCATTTAGCCGTAATCATCTTATTAATCTTACATGAACGACATCTGAATAAATGATGATATATATATATCATTGCCCTTTGAATTCAGTACAAAAGATACGCCATCATCTTTGCATAAATTTTACAATTTTTCAATAAAAAAATGAAGAATTATGCATAAGTATATGATACACCAAAAAGTTGATTGCATGAAAAGTAATCAAGAATCTGGGGTTTATAAGCTTAATCTTGGACTCAATAACTTGGGAAAAATTTAAACTTTTGAGAATGGTAAAATTGTAAAAGTATTGATAAAATAAAGTGTACAAGTGTATGCGGTAATAGAATATACTACTATTATTAGTTTTGTCATATTTGATGACTATTTTTTTGCAGAATGTACTATTATTTGTCTAATAAAAAATTCTTTCTAATTGTGGGCACCAAACACCCCCTAGTGTGACGATATACGCATTGCCGATATCAAACTCGATGGAGAAAGACGAATAAAAATGGGGATTGTGGACAACGATGTGCGGCTTACGTGAGGCATGGTGTGGTTTTGCCTTAATGTTTGATTTAGAGAGGGGATTTGAGGGACAAAAGAAGTAGAGCATGACGAAACCAGATCCAGGAGTTAGTAAAATGGTTTACTAATGGCGGGTTGAAGACCGAAGAAGACAACAAGAAAGAAATGGCGCGATGCTGGAGGAAGGAAGCATTCCCGGATATGGAAGAAACAGAGAGAGAGATTGAGATGGACGATGGACGATGGAAGAGTGATTTTTGATTCATTATAAATGGTTAGATATTCGTTGACCTTTGCAGAGGTAGTTTTGGCAGCTTGAGAGATATTGCTCCAACTGAAAAATTATTCTCGGACGACACCACCAGCCATATCTTATACTAAACCTGTAAATTTGGTGTAAGAATTCAGTGTATTTCGCTGAGATAACCTCAATCATATGCTACTATTAGATGACAACTTAATGACTCCAATTTTTGTTTTTTCTTTGAGTCAATTTTCTCTTGTTAGCTTTGCACACACATCAAATGTATTAATACTAGTGTAATTATAAAATATGAGCCACTTTTTGACGAAATATTATTTCTATTTACCAAAAATATATATATAAGTAGGGAGTACGGGGAACCCACATTTGGCTAACTTGACCCATATTTTACCGGTCAACCATTTTATGATCCTTATCCGTTCCATATATCAATAGGTACTTGATCATTGGGCGCCGACTAGGAGAGAGCCGGATTAGCAGGTACCCGCCGTACCTCTCTCATCATTTAATTTTTTTTTAAAATAATTTATACTAATTTAGTTTTATATTTTACATATTCATCTAAGATTCAATATAGATTTTACTCAAAAAATCTCATATCAAGAACAAACTTGCAAGAAAATACAAGAAAGAGAAAAAAAGAATCCAAAACTAATAAAAATTGTTATAAGCATTGCCCATTATATATATATATATATATATATATATTCTACATCAATTAAATTATTCTTAAAAAATAAGATCATGATCTCTATAAAATGAATCCTGTAAACAAATTATAGGTGCTCATATTTGGAGCATAATTTGCTGAAAAAAAAAACACTTCATTTGCTTTAAAAATAATATTTTGCATATATAAATAAAAATAAAAAATAAAAAAATATGCCGGACAGATCGAATACCCGCAGATTTTTAATCCAGTGCCCTTAACCTGTCCCACATATAAGCGGGTATATGACCTTCTTCTGATTTGCTCTTATAATGGGGGATTGGACACCTTATTCAAAGCAAATCAGATCGAATCTCATGAGTTATCCAATCAACACGTATTTGTGCTCCACCCCTAAAACCACCTCACTACCAAATACCCTTGAATAGCATCATAACTACTTTTGGTGATATGGTTCAAATCTCCTTGCCCTTTCCCCCCTTCTCAATTCCCACATCTTGTCTAATGAAAAAAAAAAATTGATGGAGTTATGAAATTACGAACACAAACAGTGTGCTTTTAACACAAATTATGCAATGAATATCAACTAGTTCCAAATTGAATTCGCATTGGCATTCACCGTAGCATTAAAATACAAATCAAACTATTCTATATCAATTCGAACTAAATTAATTGCAGGTCATTTAGAATGGCATCTCGATTAATCAAGTCAAAGAGAGGTAGATCATTTTACTCTAATTCCATCAAGCAAAAATCCATCAAACTCGAAGTAGTAAAGATAAAGATTTAAAATCAGGAAAACCATCTCAAGCTCCCTAGATAATAGAAATCAAACTAACTTTAAATTCTATCAAAAATGTAAAATTAAAAAAACAAAAGGACCTACGCATCGGGCTTGTTTGTGTCCCCATAAACTCCTTGAGGGACTTTAATTTGTGACTTAATCCCAACATGAACCCCCGCCCCCATTGCCAAAAAAAAAGCTTCATTAGGCCCCATTTTTAGTAATCCAACATTGGGCTCGACCCGGCCCATGAATCAGCGAGAAGTCAGCCAATCCCCCAACGAATCGGAACATACGCACACATAGCGAAAAAAGAAATGCAAAAAAAAAAAAAAAAACTGAAAAGCCATTAATTGAATATTCAGTTGAAAGTTCTCCTTCTTTCTTGCTTCCACTGACCTTCGATTTGCTGCTCGCGTTTGTCTTCTTCACCAAGAAATTGAGCTCTATATCTTACTTGATCAACGCCCATTTTGGTCACGAATCAATAGGGTACTATATTTAAATTTTCTGCTTATAAAATTTTCACTGTGTCCAAGAATCCAAGAGGTTGTATCTGGAATTGGGTTGTGATACAAATTACCAGTAATGGTATTGCCCTTGTTGAAGCTAGGGACGCTTGCTGTAAAAACTCTGAGCAAACCTATAGCTAGTAGACTCAAGGTTCAGGCCGGAAGGCATCCCAAGTTCCGTAATTTCATCGTCGGCATCGCCCAGGTAACTTCATTACTTTACCATTTTTTGAGAAGTTATTCGGGTTTTTATGCGTTTGTTCAAGAACCCGGTGTTTATGAACCCAAATATGGATATTATTGATACGTGCGATTTAAAGGAGAGATTGGAATACTAGGTGGATTTTAAAATTTTTGAAATGTTATCTATTGCATATATTCGATCATAGGAAATTGAGGAAGATGCAGATTGGGACAGAAAGATAGCACAAAAATCTTCGCCTTTGTTGTTTCTTTTCTGGTCTAGATTAATTTAAGTTTTAGAATTGCAGGAGGGCTTATATTCATTTTTTGAACTTTGCTAGTGACAAATCGGAAATGCAGAAATGTAAAATACTGCCAATAACAAGCTTGAAGACTTACATTGATGATTTATTGTAAATTTGTAATAGGGAAATCAAGATAGCGTAGACTATTATGCAATCATGGATCAAGCAATTCAATTTCCGGGTTGAGAAAAATTTCCGGGTGAGAAATGAGTACAACTTGAGATGTTTGCTCACAAGTTACATCTTGCTTAAATGACAGCCGTAGCATTTGAAAGATTTTCTTGCAATTTATGCTTTCACTTAACCTTGTGCTAAGAAATTTGCAGTCTTTGCTGCAGAATTTTGATAGTTATTTGACAACAACTAAATTTCTTTCCTCGTTCTTTTTCTTGGGCACCTTGAATCAGTCATCTTTGATTCTTTTTCATCACTGTTTTGCTTGTATAGTTCTTGACTGAATTAGGCAAGGTTTTCAGATGTGTAAGCCGGTATGTTCTTCTAGAATTGTGTGATAATATCTTTGGCTTTTGTGTAGGTCTCGATAAATTCAGGTAAGGCTTTCAAATGCACATGCTGATCAATTCTTCTTCCCAACCCCCCACCCCCCAAAAGAAAAAGTTGTCTTTATGTTTGGTTCTGGTGCATTCTTCATTAATTTCAGATTCTCAGCTTTCTCGTTCTTCGCCTCTGCTTCAGCAATTGTAGAACTTTGTTTTCTTTTTCTACTCACATTAATTTTTGAATGCAGGGAAACCATAGGATAACAACACAAATGCAAAGACGCATATATGGTCATGCAACTGATGTTGAAATTCGACCTTTGAATGAGGAGAAAGCTGTTCAAGCGGCTGTAGACCTTCTGGGGGAAGTTTTTGTCTTCTCGGTAGGTTTTGTATCTAACTTGAATATTATTTTGCTGCTGGAATAGCTTGTATAAGATTGCTCATATTAGTGAAGGAAAGATTTTTTTCCCTACTTGTTAAGGAGTAGAAGAGTTTGATCCTATCTTTAATTTTGCCACACTATTCTTACCCTTCATGTTAATGTTGCACCAAAGTGTTCTTGTCACTTAGGAGGCAGTATGAGGCCCAGGAAACATGCCTTCTTCAAAACTTTACTGTTCTTTAAATGTATTCAGTATTAACTAAATCAATATTGAAAAATTTCCTGATTTCTTATCTTGCTAGAATATAAAGCCAATATTTCTTTCCATGTTTTGCATTCTTCCCACTTAGCATGAATCACAATTCATGCCAATTGATATCAAAATCTCATTTTGTATTTTTGCTCCTCAGCTCAGAAGTTACGTGAAGTCCTAGGTTCTCATCATTTGCAACTTATTGCATATTCATTGGATAGCCAGGAAAATATCTGCAAAGGCCCTGGACCACCCTTTGTTCTTCTGCGAGTTTTTTTTCATTTCATTAGTGGTAGGGAGAGAATGAGATAATAGATTTCAGATTTGCAGTATCTTGCCTCCTTATGAGATAACGGACTGACCACCTCTTTTTGTTGTGGCAAAGTGCGAGGATTGGTATTATCCCTCCATTTTCTTGATTTATTGATTGACCACCTTTGTCATGCTCTAGTTTGCTCTTTCAAGTAGACATGATACAACAGCTGTCAATGGTCTGAGATTTTGTCCTGGGTAGGGTTATTACGAGTGAAAAGAATCTTCTTTTCTTGCATATCCTGATGCATGGAAGGATAGATTTGTTGGAAAATGTTATATAAGTTTTAGAAAGAAAATAATAACCCTACTTTGATGAGCATTTTACCCCTTATATGCCTAATCATGATTAGGTTGCTGTAGCTGCTCTGATATTTGAGGTGCAAAGAAGTGCTCGGTCAGAAGCTAAGAAGGAGGAGCTTCGTAGGCAGGAAATGGAGGTATATAATGTTAAAGAATTCTTTGCTTCCCCCCATCCCTTTTTTGGCATTCAAGTTTTGTGATGAGTAGCATCTAAGTACTTTCTTTCGGTAGTTTATTTTTCCAGAACTTGAATAACATGTTAATGCATTGCTCAGAACATCTTTCCCTTGTATTGTTAGTATGCCTGCATCCACAATTGCTGATGCATGAAGTTCTGGGGATTATGTAAAGTGCATTTCCCAGCCAAATTAGTTTGTGTAGCGCTAAAATATTTGGTTCCATGACTTGGGATGTTAGATGATAGCTTCCGTTGTGTCTCATCCCTTATCTATAGGTGACCTATTTTGCTATGCTATCTGAGCACAAAGTTGCAAGCCCTTTGAGTTACATATTCATCTCGACCAAAAGCACGGGCATATTTTTCATTCTTAGGAGCTCCTCAGTTAGAGTTCTACTTTCCTTATTTTCTATTCTTTTTACGAACACCTTTATCCTGTTTTGGCTTCAAAGCATCTTCTGGATTGCTAAAATAATTGGTTTATTCAATTAGGCGAGTATACATATATGCTGCAGGATTGTGATTGTTACTGCCAGCTTGACATTCACTTAATGTATGGCAATAACGTGGTAGCTATATATGCATAAACTAATGTTCTGGGCTTGATAGTTAAGTAGGCATGTCATTTTTCAGAATTTCAGCGGCTTAAATCCTCTTCATTGCGGAGAATATAATTCTAGTTGTATCTATATGGTTTTAGTTAAATCTGGATGCTTTAGAGGAAAAAAAGCATGCTTCCTTTTGCCAACATTAATTATGAAGATTAAGGGCTATTAAATGCTATCTTTGTCTTACACCGTGTGGCCTGTGCTTTGAGTAGTTACCATAAACAAAACTCAAAGCCATTGTTCAAGCTTCTCAAAATGTACTCAGCTTTTGGGTCTGTCATGGTTTTCAGGAACTGAGGCAACGAGACGATGAGTTGGCAAGAGAGGTAGAGCTTCTAAAGAGTAAGTTGCAGGAGCTTGACCAGCTAGCCCAGAAACGTGGACTTTCTGGTGTTTTTGGCTTTAGACATGCTCATGGAGAGGAAAGCAAGTCGGCGGCAACAAATTGATTTCTTCATGTTAATCTGATATTGAATAATGCATTTATTTCTGATTCATAAGGATAATTGGGCCTGCTCAATTTAGACTTTTGACCTTCATTGGCTCCCGAGCATACAGTTTTGCTGATTACTTGTTTCATTTGTAAATACACTCGCTGAAACAGAGGACTGATCTGTATTGAGTATTAAACAAGAAGGGAAAGGAATTCATCATTGCAGCTGATAAGGATCTGCAGCAGTGATAAAGAGATATTGTCAGGCAGTCAGGAAAGGAGAAGAGAGACCCTAATTATAAAATTTCTGAACTTGGCTCCAAATACTTTTCTTGGTCTCCGTTTTGTCTGCTTTTGATTATCAATTCTTCATAGTAGATCCTAAATACGCATCTCCATATTACGTAGCTGCTGAAAATTGACTACTTTTTTACTTGATGCTCTTTTTCTTTACTCGCCGTCATAGTGATGCTAAATAAAATGGTGGGAACAGAATTTTCTTGTTGCATTTTATTTTATGAAAAGCCTCACATTTAGCGGCAGGAGAAACGAGTCCAGAAACCACAGATGCTTCTTATCTTCAAAAGACATAACACAATGCATATCTAATTGCTCATGGCATCAAGGACTAGCAATCAGGAATCTTAGAAGATGGTAGTGGGTTCTGCACCTTTATGCCTTTCTTGCCCGGGTCGTCTTCTCTTTTCACATCTAATAAAAAGGCTTTTCAAAGGGCGGACCCACCATCTTCCTCAACATCCAGGCCTGGTTAGGATCTGAAACGCATCGCGTCCATCCGGACCACATCTTTGGCAGTGGTTGGGCTTACAGAGAATTTTCCAAGAGAATCATTTTAGTTTAATGCGGCTGCCTTTGTTTAAAGGAGCATTTGTTTGCCAAAATGTTAATGTTCGGTAGGGGAATAACCTCAAGAGTTAAAAAAGTTTTGGATTCAAATCTCATACTTGAGAGTTTAGTCTTATTTATTGTAATTCGACCATATGTCTTGTGTGTATGCGTGCGTGCGTTTATATATATATATATATATATAACTTGTAATTTGGTGCTGGCAATTTTACATTATCACCGAATAGTTTTAGATAGTGACTTGAATATGGTGTTAGTGGAGGATTGATGTTCTTTTTTTTTTAAAAAAAAAAAAAAATAGTACAAGAAGTAAGATGTTTAGTCATTATCTTTGTAGCATCTCTGTTAAATAGGAAAATTCCGAATAAGAATTGATGAGAGGAATGTTGAAGTTGATTTTCTTCCTTTTGCTAAATAAAATACGTCAGTGACTAACTAATAATTACCATGTTGAAAAAGGACTGTAATTTAATTTTCTCAAAGCATAGAATTCTGCTATTAGGTGGCAAAAAACTACTTATGTTAAAAAGGGAACGTGTTGCAAGAAATATTTGAAAGTTTTGTAAGAAAGTACCAATTTATTCAAAGTTATTAACTTTGCATGTGAAAACTATGCGAGCTTTAAGTATCTCCATGACATAAAACCTTGCCATTACAAAAAAAAAAAAAAAAAAGCTCTAAAACATGTAACTCCCCATTGCTTTTAATACAAGGAATGAAATTTAGATGACCAATAATAAAAAAAAAGAAATATTTATTGTTAATTGAAATTGCCTTTCGTTTGGTATACTTGGCTTGATTCTATAAGAATTTTAATAATGTATTGCCAAAATTTGGGATTGAATGAACGAAACAACACCTTGCCAACTAAAACAAGGAGCAAAATTAAACACTACTAACTCTTTAGAATGAGACTAATAATTTATTCTGTTGTATAACCTTTGCAGGGCACATTTAAAATATTAACATCGGAAAGCAAACCTTTTTCTTGACTAAAAAATTTATTGCATAAATATTAACATTTTCTTGTAAGATAAAACACGTTAGATAGTCTAATGTATAAAAAAAAAACTTATTGCAAAAGGGATTTTAGATATTCGCGCATTTATGGCTCATGTAGGGATGGCAATGGGGAGGGGCTAGTGGAGAGGGGGTTGGGGCGGAGGCGGGGGAGTGTACCCCCGCCCCGCCACCTGCTTTAAAAAAATAAATATATAAAATATATATGTGTATATAATTTTATATATAATATATAATTTAATTAGTTACAAACTTATGATAATGATATTATTAGTTATATGTATTATATAATGTCTATTAGTATATATAATATAATTGATATTATTAATTATACTAATAATTATATATGTGTACTAATACAAATTATTAATTGATTATACTAAATTTACTAATATATTTATACTAAATCCCTAATTACACTTAATACAATAGCATTTTTTTCTTAAAAAAAAGCACAAGCACAATAATGAATTAGTGATTGTATTTGTGCCAAAAGTGAAAACTTGACTACTTTAGTTATATTTATTTCATCATATTGGATTGTATTCAAATAATTTTTGTTTGATTGTTTTTATAAGTTTCAATTGTAAAATTACAATGAATAATAATTTGATGATGTGTTGATATTTTAGATTATTTGCTAAAATTTAATCATAATAAAATTATATAACAAATTTTTATTAGTCCCGTGGGGACACTCGCGGGGAAAGCGGGGCGAGGCGGGGACGGGGGATGGGGCGGGGGTGGGGCCGCCCCGCTGCCATCCCTAGGCTCATGTCATCATTTAACAAATACTTACTCAATAAGTATCTTAACGATCTAATTTAAATTTTACCCAAAAAAAAGCTAATTTAAAACTTTTCTTGCATTGATAATGCATAAAATTTTGAAAAATATTTTAATAACTGTTAATGTATACACGAGTGAGCCTAGATACATGATATATGACATGTAACTTAATTTTAAATTTGAAATTCAGTTTCGTATAGATTCCTTCTACGCCTAAGTTGATAAAGGTTTAATCCTAAAATTTTTCCCTCAAATTATGCTCACAAGTCGTGAGTCACAACTACAAGTCAACAGAAAGTAAAATGCCCAAAAAAAAATATTAATATTCGGTAATTTCCCTCGACTACCACATGCCTTTGCCGCGACCCAGCTGCTGCTGCCTTTTGCCGGTGGGTGGGCCCTGCAAAGTGACCGGTTAAGTCTATACCATAATTGAGAAGCATATAAAGAAAACCCACATACATAGACTTCCGCACATATTTATTTCGAAGTCGCGCAAAAGGAACCCCCAATTCTGTATTATCTGAATACTTTCACAGCGATCTTCTCTTCAAAGCAGGTTTAAAAAAGCACCCCATTCTCCATCCCTCTTTCTCTTTTCTTTTCGTGCTTTTTTGGTTTATCTCTTCTTGGTAATAATTCTTATTCTCAGGACTTTCACTCTTTTTTCCTTGTCTTGATCCCCTCTTTTTTTTCTTATCTATTTTTGTAGCAACTCCTCCTGATTTTTCATCTGACGACCGCGATTGGAAGTTAATTTAGGTTTATTTTTGTGCGAATTGCAGTTCATAAACCTCTTCCCCTTTGTGGGTTTCGTTGTTGTGGGTTTTGGTAGGTGTGTGATATGTTGCATTTTTTTTTGGGGTATATTAGTCTCAATCATGGGTTTCTTTATTTGGACTGTGAATTTCAACTGTAAAGATTGCGGGTTTTTGTTGGTTTTCAGCTTTGTGGGTAATTTGGGAGAATATTGAAAAAGTTTTTGTTTAATTTTACCATGATTACTATACTATTTTAGTTTTGTGTAATCTGTAAAAGCTTGCAAGTTTTATTTTTCCTTGATGAATTCTGAGTCCAGTGGTGGTGTTTTAAGGGTTTTAGGAGCGCATTGCAGCTCGGTTGTATCTTTATAGTTGTTCTGACAAGTTCTTTTGGGTGGTTTTGAAGGTGGTAGTTGAGAAACCAAGTGCTATATACTGATTACTTGGAATGGGCAAGGGTTCGAAGAGTGGTGCATGCAAGTCTGCATCGCATCAGCTCTTCAAGGACAGGGCAAAAAACCGTGTCGATGATCTTCAAGGGATGTTTTCGGATCTGCAGTCTGCAAGAAAGGAGAGCCGTAGCATTGATGTTGCAGTTCTTGAAGAGCAGGTCCATCAGATGCTCCGTGAGTGGAAAGCTGAGCTCATTGAACCCTCCCCTGCTTCTTCTTTGCAGGTAAAGCCTCCGCTGATTGTGTGCAATAGATGTTACACAGAAGCTGATTTGACACTGCCTTTGAATGTCAGTTGTTGTGTTATTTTATGAACTTTGCACAACAGTAGTAGAGTTCAGACGTAAGACTGCAATATAGATGTGCATTCTAGTTTCTGTTCTTATTGCTGTGGGCTGTATTCTGGAGCATAAAACTTGTAATTGTATGTGTTAAAGTGGATCTAGATATGTTGACTTATGTACTATTTATATCTCAGATGTGAGTATGTCTAAGAAGACTTTGATGATGAGTTTTCTAAGTAGATTGCTATGTAGGAATGTGGTGGTGAGCATGTGCTGATAGTTGTGAAAAAACATGCACTATGGTGATTCAGTGTTATGTGCTTCTTTTTGCAATTCGTAAGATGCAGCTGAATGTACAGGTGCATGTGTAGCAATGCATCGTTTTATTTTGATAGGAAGTTTTGAGTGTCCCTCTGATGTCGATATAATATCTGCAGGGTGGAAGTCTTGGTTCATTCTCGTCAGACATTTATAGGCTGTTACAACTTTGTGAGGAGGAAGATGATGCCACCAGTGCTTTAGCTGCACCCAAGTCTGAGCCAGATGCACAAAAGGCTGATAGTGGTGCTGTCTTTCAAGAGGTAATTATTATGCTACTCATCTTCATTATGCATTTGTTTGATTTCTTTGACCAAAATTTCTGACAATTGTAATCATATTTTCTTTTTCTACGAATGGAGATTGATTTGTGTAATGTGTCATATTTGTCTGTTAAACCAAGTTTTGGGTTTTGATTCAAGTCAACATGTCATTACTTGTCTTGAACAGGCAGATTGTGTTTTTAGTATTATAACCAAGAAGCAAAGTGCAAACTTTGTTAAGGCTTGTTTCTCTTTTACAACAGATGTGTCATGGTTGTGGCACAAAATCAGCGTCGCCACTGATTCATGGGTTGTGTAAGTTTTGGCATGACATGGAATATGCTTGTATGAACACTTCTTCTTGACATTTCACTCTAAAGGTGTCTATGGTAAAAGTCAAGTGCCGTGTGTTATATACTTCTTTTTTAAAAAAAAATTTGCCTTTATAAAGTTAATTTTTTCTGGACAATATAAGTAAAACGTTTTTTTCATCCTAACCTGCAGTTCAACCTTTCTTAGAAGGCCTCCTTATATCTTGAAGAAGGGATTCTCTGAGAGATGTTCCTCTTA